ACACACACACACACACACACACACACACACACACAATTAGAAAGATACCATTTCAGATTATTTACAACGAAGGTATCAGGTTCCACTTCTTTTTCCTGAGCCGACCTCAATTCATGAAGGGGGACACAAAGACTCTTGAATGATCCAAAGCTCTCATAACTTTTCAGCCTCGCAATTTTGCTTTAGCAAACGGTTGCACAGACTTACCTAGATTTGAAATTTCTGTAAGATATACCACTACTCTTTTTCGCTTCTTTTTCTATATTTGAACCAAGTGGTATCAAAGTGCAGTCCTTTTAACTACAGACACGCATGAAACACACTGAGCTTATTACTAATTCCTTGTGATTGTGAAAAGAGGGAAATTCTAATATTTAATTTTATGCCTATCTCAAAAGAGCTGTGTTTGAGACTGGAACTCTATACGCTAACGACAGCCAGTAATCCCTCTTTTGTGTACAATCACCGGGTGTCTTTGTACCGTCGACATTCCCGTTGGCTCTTCTTTCTATCACCTTTTGCCGTAACATCATGGCTCGCTTTCATATCGTGTTTTGTCAGATATGATCTTCGCATATTATGCCTTCTTACGCACCTTTTAGGGGACACATTTAAAATTGCGTATCCAAAAAGGTTAACCAAATAGGAAGAGAAGTCTTGGGTGTGTCGTTTCTGTAAGGGTTTTTCTTACTTACTAATACTACCTTCCACATCTCCCCCTCCCCTCCTTTAGTTTGTTTCTAGCTGTATACCCTTGAAACAAGTCTTCGTTTAGACCACTTTTCGATAAACGGTTTAGCAATTGAAAGTGTTCAATTGAAATAATTTTGATTAAATGATAGAATGATGACTAAAACTGTATATTTTGTGAACCATTAGGTAGGAGACATAGGGAACAGCTGGCCGATATTACTGTACCATAAAGCCAAAAATAAGCCTTTAATTGTAAGCAAGCAGTTTTTACAGCCCACTTTTAATTACATGTAATGTTTATAACATTTTCAGACGAGTATGTTGAAGATTCACAACTAAACATTGCAGCACAGTTGGCTAAAATCCTGTTACATCAAAGAGAATATATCTACGTTCGAAGAGCTTCTGGGCCCAAACGTCAAACTCAGCATATATAACCTTATTGTCATTGTTGGTGTCAGTGTTCTGTGGTAAGACAAGGTGGGATCAGATTAGATAAGTTTAACTAATACCAATTATAGCTAATAAATGCTAAACTTCTACATTTTGTCTCCCACTCCCCTGCCAACCGAACCCCATGTAGATCTATATAATTTACATCACTCAAGAACGACATCATTGACCCTGCATGCCTGACCACCTTGGACAGTACAGCGTACTTTATCATTTCAGGTAGGTTTAGATACTCGTTAAGATATATTATAGGCCTATTCTTTCCAGTTGAGAATCAACGTGTCTTTTTATTTCAAGACAACACGAGGTGATGTCCTGATATGCGGACGCAGCTCTGAAACGAGGAACGCCCTTGAATTTGAAAACGTGCATTTTTAGTAATTGTCCCTTGATCATCTTCGCAAGAGAACATGAAATAAGAGACCCGAATGCAGAAGAGGGGATGACATTCTAGATAGATAGACACATAATCTTCCCGGGAAGCTGAGAATGTTTCGGAGTGTTCTATGGTCTGCTGGGGTAATAATATAGTGTAAAGCGCA